CACGCACACACACACGGAAACCAGGCACCATCTGCCGACGTCCGCAGTGGAGAGATTCAAGGTTTGGAATTTGGGATGAGGGGGAGGAGCAGGAGGAGACACAGGGAAGAGGAGGACACGGAGGAGGAGCCGCGGTGGCTAGGGGATGTTAACGACCTCGCCCGGTATACAGGAGGTCATAGGTTCGATTCCGAACCTGAGGCCTGTTGTATATTGGAGTTTGCGTGTTTTCCCCGTAGTCGCGTGTTTTTTTTTCCGGGCCCTCCTGTGTTTTCCTCCACATTTAGAATCAACATCACGCGTTTAGAGTAGTTGGCTTCTACACATTTCCACTTGATGGGCCACATCGTTGAGCTATAATTTTCGATAGCCAGATCGCTTCAGAAAAATGTATTCACAACTCAGTGGGCCTTAGCTGGTAAAAGAAAAAAAAAGAGTTGAGTTGAGGAGGACGATTTCAGTTCCAGTTTCATTTATTTGGAATCGCCCTGTGAGCCATTCGGCTCTTGAATCGGGTGCAACCGCAACAAACAAAAAACAAAAACATGAACAAGAAAACATCTTAAAGTGACTATGCGCAAACAGAAAAATCCAGGAAAAAACTGCAAAGTCTTCCAGAAAAAAAAGCACCGTATAACACCAACGCTGTGCAAACATCCCAGTGGGATGCAAGTCAAACAACCACAACGATGAGACGCGGGGAGGAGCTGTTCATGTTTTCGGTGAGCGCCCTCTCGTGACTGCGCGCACACCCTTCACTCAGACGCCTTCAGATCTCCCAGGAAACATCACTCGTTTTCTTTTCTTGCTGTGGATTTCACACCTGATGATGATTGCTTGTGTTGCAGTCGAAACGTCGTGAGAATTTTTATTGTTTTATATTATATTACTTTATTATTTCCCTTCTACGTGACTTTACCGAAAGAACCAATAATATGAATCCCTGCAGTCACGAAAGCTTTAAATCAAAATTTTAAATCACCCGTGTAAATAGAAATTATTGACAGTAACAATAACAACACGCCTATCAGCCTCGGGGTCTTCTAGACCAATGTCTCCCGGCAGCATTTGTTGAAGCGCGCGCAGTCTGAAGCGGTCTCGAATCCCAGGGTTTCATCAACTTGGTGTAGCCACTGCCAACCTATTCCGAGATCTCGTCATGTACTCACGCTGCATCTACAATGCAGTTTACAATACCACCAGGTTTATATAGCTTCGCAGGTCAGGTGTCCACTCGCCACTGACGTTAGCCGTGATCGGCGAATCGGAACTCGGATCGCCGGGGTTAATTTTGAGTAATGCGCTAACCACTGCGCCACCGCTCCCCCCACTTACCCCGTACCCCCCACCCACGTTGCGAGTTCGATATGCAATGGAGAGAGCTCATCAATATGTTATTATATGGCGAGGTCAATCGTGAAAGTCGCGCTGCAGTGATGTGGGCCGTGATAATGAACTACAACTGGCCCGTTATTGATGCGAGTTCGTCATGTGCATCACAAAAGCGGATTAAATAAATGACAAATAGTAATTTGTGGTGCACTACCAAATACAAGACCCGCACGGCGTGGAGAGGCCCTCATCCAGCAGCGGAGTGGCATATTGAGTGGTTGGGTGAGTGGGTGAAGGCATGAATGAGTGGGTGGGTGAGTGAGTGGATGAGTGAGCGAACGGGTGAGCGAGTGCGTGGGTGGGTGAGTGAGTGGTTCAGTGAGTGAGTGGGTGAGTGAGTGGGTGAGTGAGTGAGTGGGTGAGTGGGGTGAGTGAGTGGGTGGGTGGGTGAGTTGGGTGAGTGAGTGTATGTTGAACTTCTTTCGCACCCTAGGTAGCAAGCCTTGCTAATCGGAGGTGCGAGAGGGAGTGGGTTGCGGAGTGAACCGGTGAATTATTGAGTGGGTGAGTGAGTGAGTGGGTGAGTGAGTGAGTGGGTGAGTGAGTGAGTGGGTGAGTGAATTGGTTGGGTGAGTGAGTGGGTGATTGAGTTAGTTGGGCGAGTGAGGTGGGTGAGTTGGGTGAGTGAGGTGGGTGGGTGAATGAGTAGGTGAGTGAATGAGTGGGTGAGTGAGTGAGTTCTGTGAGTGAGTGGGTGAGTGAGTGGGTGATTGAGTGAGTTGGGCGAGTGAGTGAGTTGGGTAAGTGAGTGAGGTGGGTGAGTTGGGCGAGTGAGGTGGGTGAGTGAGTTGGGTGAGTGGGTGAATGAGTGGGTGAGTGAATGAGTGGGTGAGTGAGTGACTTGGTGAGTGGGTGGGTGACTGAGTGAAGCACAGACTTCGTGTTTCTAACAACAACAACACGAGTCCATGACGGCCGGCACTGCACTGCTATAACAAGCAAGCCCCGACATCACCGAGTGAAACAATCGCCCCAAATCGACATGTTGGTGTTTCTGAAACTTAATTTGAATACGAATGGTTTGTTAAAAATGTGTCCGAGCCAACTTCTTTTTCGACGGGAAATCTATTTCACTCAATATCGATCCGTGTTTCCGCCACCTCGATTGTTTTGTGCTCCTGTCTGTAACGCGGTTGTTTTGGTTGCTTCTGCTTGCCAAGATGTCTATCTGCTCCGTTGTTGCGAACCGGTTGCAATGTCGCATACATTCCCTCTCGTCGCGTTCGCCAAACAAAGCGACGGTCGCAAATTCGTCACGAGGAGTTCGAGCAGAAACCGGCATCGCCTAAAGGGGCCGTCCATAAATGACGTCACGCGATTTTGGACGATTTTTGACCCCCCCCCCCACTCGTCACACGGCGTCACAAAAAGTCAGACCCCCCCCCCTCAAATATGACGTCACAAAGCTCTGCTCCCCCCCCAAATAAAACATGCTTCAAATCGCTTTAAACTATTGTCATTGTAGTGCGTATTTAATGTGGCGCTGCACTCTGATGTTGTAAAAAGTTTTATTATTAAAAAGTCTATTTAATTAAGTAGAACGTGTTGTCTATATTTATTTAAAGTTGCGCATTTTGACGTGACGTCACATTTCTCAACCCCCCCCCCCCTCGTCACACACCGTCACAAATGTCTGACCCCCCCCCCCCCAGATGCGTGACGTCATTTATGGACGGCCCCAAAGTGGCCAAACTCGAGCCGATCTATTTCGACGGCCGATGAGAGTGAATGTCCTGATCACGCGGCTCATGTCACGTGGCGATCGTCACGTGATGCCGTGTTACTGACCGCATGGAGGAGCTGTAACCGCGAGATTGATGCCACCTCGTGTGGTTACCCTGCCTCGCGGACTGTCTGGGCTCGTGGGCCGAATGAGAGCCATCGTTCTTCCGGTATCAGGAAAGCCACTGGGAGCTCTGCACTTTTAAATCAGGATTGGAAATTCTAGATTTGAAGCTTTTGTGACTGCAAGGATTCATACTCTTAGGTTTTTTTCGGTAAAGTCACGTAGGTAAAAATGTTAAATTAATAAAAGTAAAATAAAACAAATTAAAAAATTCACGACGTTTCGGAGGCAACACAAGCCTCCGTCCTCAGATGGAACCGTCACAGCCCGACAGCTGTATAAAGTAAATGAGAGATTACAGGAGATACCACTCCGTATATATAATGGTTGAGGGGGGGGGGGAAGGGCCAGGAATGGCCCACTTTTTATTATTATGGTAAGGTGCGGTTTGAGACTATGAAACTCATTTCTTTAGAACTTATTTCTGTGTGTTTAGTTTGTTGTCCTTCCCCCGCACCTCCGATGCGCGCGGTCGGCTACGTGCGGTGCGAAAGAAGTTCAACGTCTCTCGAGGTTGGTAATACAGATAATCGTCATCACGCAATCGGATTACGTTTACCTGGAGACGTCATCGCGCCGATGATGTCACCGCGCAGCGCCCCGTATTCTCAGACCTACGAACGTAATGACGTCACTGGCGCGCCGTAAGAGAGCGTAGCCTGCGTGATGACATCATCACGCGCTCATGCGCGCGCGTAATGATGTCACTGCAGAGACGGCGACGATGACGTAGTGTTATGACGTCGGGCGGAGCACAGAGCGTGGCTACGTCACAGGCTCCGTACGAACGTTCTGACGTACAAGTGACCAACAGAGGGCAGCAGAGCACCGCACTGAGTAGCGAGTCACCAACGGAGTGTTATAGAATCTAAAGTGGCAGCTCTTAGCATTGACGGTAACTTTCCCTGCGTTGTATATTCGTCCTCCTCGTTTCACGGCTCATTTAACGTGCAAGCAAGCGCCACGCGTTGTCCAAAATTGTTATCCTAACGATTGCCACAAGCGCGTGCGTGCGCGGTGACGTCACGCGCGCGTGTGTGCGTGATGACGTCACGCGCGCGGCTCTCAAGCCGACGTCGCCCACAGTTAGCGTACGCGATGACGTCACTGGCGGGTTTGCAGGCCGTTACGTGCGGGGGGCGGGGGAGCGTCACGTGACGATAAATACGCTGCAGGCGTTTCACGAAATCATCGACGATTGCTGATTCCGCACCCCTTGCAATGTCTTTGGCGCTCGGGAAGCGTTCAGCCACGATTAGTCATTGTAAAGGCAAATAACAATACAGTCCGAGTTTGATTAATCGATTCGTTGTAACGAAAAAGCGCGGGGATTATCGTCGAATCGTTACGCCCTTACTTGAGTTTCGGGGTCGTGACGTCACAATAGACCACGGTCTTTGTTTATCTTTGTGATGACGTAAGCGTTGGTATTACAGATAATCGTCATCACGCAATCGGATTACGTTTACCTGAAGACGTCATCGCGCCGATGATGTCACCGCGCAGCGCCCCGTATTTCCAGAACTGCGAACGTGATGACGTCACTGGCGCGCCGTAAGAGAGCGTGGCCTGCGTGATGACATCATCACTCACTCATGTAATTTTTTACGTTAGTGCGCGCGCGCGTAATGATGTCACTGCAGAGGAAGGCGACGATGACGTAATATTATGACGTCGGCGGAGCACAGAGCGTGGCTACGTCACAGTCTCCGTACGAACGTTCTGACGTACGAGTCCTGTGACGTCATAACGCAGCCGTCACAACGGGCGGAGTCTCGAGGCGCGGGGGTCTTCGCTGCCAGCGGCTCCGTTATTTCAGCGTCAAACAACAACAACGACAACAACAAAAAACAATAACACAATCAAGAACAACAACGATAGCAACGCACCCTGCTGCTGGCCGGGCCGGCGTGAACATGAGCTGGGGTGTGGATCTCTGGGTGAGTTTTGGTGAGGGGGGTCGGGTGTGGATGATTACAGGCCGGGCTTCGAGCTGTCAAGAGTGGCTGTGAGATCAGGCAAGGCCGTAGGCTGAGGCCTAGCTAGGTAAAAAAAATATTTATTTTACAAAAATGTTGCATACCGTGTAAATTGTTTTAATGCATTTATCAGGTGCTAGGTGGATTATCATTTCGTAGGATTGTGAAGAGGTGACGCCGCGGCTTGTGGAGGCCTTCATCGAGCAGTGGATTGACCATGATTCGTGATGATAGATAACGGTATGGAGCAGCAACGATGTTGGAACAAGCCTAGCGCGTTGTTTAACAATGGCACGCTGCGTCATATTGGATACTCTATTGTACATTTGTGTGTATACGCTATTGCTGTTACTCTGTCGGTCTGGCTCCCGCCCTGTGTGTGAGAGGGGTGGGTTTCAGCTGACTTATACGTCTGGTTTGAGACGCGTTGACGATATGCGCAACATTGCGTTTGCATACTTTATCCAGCAGTGGATCGATTGTGGCCGATGCTAATTAGAAACGGGCTTCGCTGTCTTTATATTGGCTTTACTGATTATGAGAATCCTATATGTACTTGTAAGTGTTTGGCGCGAGACTTTGAGCAAGATATAACTTTAGGCAGACCCAGCATTGATGAGTGAAACTGATCCATCCTTCTAGCGTAACATTCTATTAACAACAACAAAATATATCGGATTCCTCCAGTCAAAATAGAGGTTCAGATTCTGATATTAAATGTAGGTAGTAGTCCTGTTAGAACATCATCATAATCTCACATTCAATCCAGTCACTATCGTCCGTATCGGTATTCAATGTTAAAGTTACCGTATTGTATTACTCTGTATGCAGTGCGTAATGTTTGTGTACAAAGCCCTTGCGACCTTTTGAACTAATTGGTCTCTTTATTAAATACTCTCATTATTTCCAGGGTTTGTTTATGTTCAGATTATTGTGTGTAGTGAGTGGATAAGAGAGTGTCAGCTTTCTATGTTGGTAACGTACAAATTTGACGACGGTCTCTGCAAATTCGTATAGCTCTCAATAAGGTGTCGTTAAGAAGAAGTGTTGCTGTGTTTCCTTTGTCAGTGGAGTTTCCACCACGTTTGTGTAAAGTCTGCAATAAATTGCAAGCAGCGCCGAAAGGGGAAAGCGAATTTGTTACGTACGATAGTGATTCCGTAGCATCCAACAGCAGCTTGTGTTGGAGAATGAACTCGCAGACAGCCAGAACGCACGAGAGCACAGGGCAAGCAATCGAGTGTGTTTCACATGCAGCCCTTCGTTAATCCACTGCTAGATGCAGCCCCCCCTCTACCCCTGTGGGAATTTTTTGGGACCATTCTTCGCTTGGTGAGGGAGGAGGTGGAACAGGCCGGGTTCAGATATCACTTGTCGCTGACGTTTGCCGTGGCCAAGGATCAAACTCCGGATGTCAGGTTGGTCCATAAGCACAGTTGCGATAGCACGCCACTGCATCACCCACTCAAACGTATTTAACACCCCCCCCCCAAAAAAAAAACAACCTAAAGTAGCATAACATTGTAGTCCATCAGACCCGAGAAGGCCTTATTTCACCAACGTTTTCCAAACAATGTTTTCAAGTTGAAACGGACAAATCCTGGAGCCCTTTTCCAGTTTTCCTTGCGTGTCATCAGCAGGGTGTGGCCCATCAAACAATCGCTGCTGGGTCGCCAAGAGTTTGATAGCGAAGAGCCCTCCAGGAGCACCCAGATTCGCGTTTGATGTTCAAAGCTCGCAGACGTCCGAAGTTTTTGCAAGGAGTCTCGAGTGGAGAAGAAAAAAGAGTGGGATTTTGTCCGTCGTTTAAATATGTTCTGGGGTTCACGGCTCCACTCGTGTTTAGGGCAAAGGACGGGGCTACCTGAGTAGTGGTGGGGGGGGGGGCTACTTGAGTAGTGTGGGGGAGCTACTTGGGTAGTGAAGGGGGGGGCTACCTGAGTAGTGGGGGGGGGGCTACCTGAGTAGTGGGGGGGGCTATCTGAGTAGTGGGGGGGGCTACCTGAGTAGTGGGGGGGGGGTTTAGCAGTGGAGGTGGGGGGCTCTGAGCATTAGGAGAGGGGCAATGACCAGAGGCGCTCACTGTGTGGGCGGTGGTAGTGACTGAGTGGGAGTGGCTGTGTGAAAGTGGGCGGGGCTGACGGGAGGGGAGGAGCTGCCAGCTCCCCATGTGACCCGGCGGTCTCCCAGAATGTTCGTAGCTTCATTGATGTTGAGCCACAGTGGCCCCTGTGAGTCCAACGAATGCGCCACAGCCATGAGAGAGGACTGCCTACGTGGGTCGTGCGATTTTCCACGTTGGTGGAGCAGTGAAATGGGCTTGTGTGGCAGGTGCTTCATAGATTGCTGCGTTGCAGGACCACGAGAGATGGCGTTGAAGAGATTGTGGCTGCTGATGATGATGGTGATCCTTGGAAACGGGAAGTTGTGCCATGTTAATCCCCTAGAGTGGCACTTTAGGCTGGCAGTGGCAGTGTATATTTGGCAACTGTCGCCTGCATACGCTACGATCGGATGGCTCAGTGTATGTGAGTGTCTGAGTGAGTAGATGTGTCTGTGTGTATGCATGCAGGCACGTGGGGAACGGTAGGGTAGCGGTTAGCGCGCTGCGCTACAAACCTGGCGACCCGGGTTCGACTCCCGTTCACGGCCAACACCAGTGACGATTATCTGAACCGGGCCTGGGCCTCCCCTAGGTCGACTCAGCCTCAAATTAGTACCTGGTGCGATGTGTCAACACCGCCACTCGGGAGACAAAGGCGGCCGGGCGTGGTGTTGGCCACCCACCCCTTCGTGTGCCGTGCCGGCCTTTATAGGTGCTCGCTAACAGCACTTGCCCCTACAGTCTGTTAAGGCTACATGGGGGATCTTTGTCTTTTTTGTAGGAATGTGTGCGAGTGAGATGGGCGTGGGGGAGGGTGCTGATCACCCTCCCCCACCCCCATCCTCGCGTGCCATGCCAGCCCTAATAGGTGCTCGCCAACAGATGCTATGTTGGGTGACTGAATGTATGTGAGTGTAGGTGTTCCAGTATGTGTGCATCTGTGTGTGAGTAAGGGCGTGGCGCTGACCACACCAACCCCCCTTTGTGTGCCAGTCCGGCCTTAATGCACTGGTCCCGATGGTTTGCAAAGACTAATGGGAGTCTGTGTGTGTGTGTTTTAGTGAGTGATTGAGTGTTATTGTTGTGGACGCGTTTATCCGTGTTTGTTTCTACAATACGTGAATGTACGTGTGTGTTTTTTACGTGAGAAATCTTGACTTGAAGCTTTCGCAATTATTAGGAAATCGTTGAGCAAAATATGAGTGTGTGCATAATGAACTTAAGTGTGTTCTCTCAACAGCACTTGCCCCTGCAGGTCTGTTAAGGCTATACGGGGGAGCTTTCTCTTTGTGCGTAAGCGAATTGCCCGGTAAACATGCCAAGGTTGAATTTCGATTTAAAGCTTTCGTGACTTGCATGGATTCATATATATTTGGTTCTTTCGGTAAAGTCACGTAGATAGGTTCGAAAATAATACAATAAAATAATTACGACGTTTCGATCGCAACACAAGCGACCGTCCTGAAGGGTATATGTTTGTCCAGTAAAATACAACGCGGATTTATATTGCATTGAGATGCTGTACAAAAAACAGTGGGCGAATGCAGTGGAAATAGAGAAGCGGCCGGTCATAGTGAGTGAGTCAAAGGGAAGTTCTTCATCTTAGATTGCAACGGGGGCAGGGAATCAGTCGAAAGCGCACAGGCCGCTGGGGGAAGTGAGTTTCAGATTGGGGTAGCATTGGAGGGTGAGCCATCTCCCCACTCTGTGTTCATGAACGGTTTGTGAGCGTGTGTTTAATGTGATGGTTAATATTGGGGGCTTGTTGGTGAGTGTCTGTGAGTTTCTACGTTTGTTCGGGGTAGGATTAGAACACCCGAGTGTGTCTGTAAGAGAGTTTGCATGTGTATTTCTGGATTAGGGTGTGTGGCGCCTGAGAGTGAGTCTACATATGTAAACGTCAAAAGTGGCACATTTTAATCGGTCCTGGGGCAACTCAGCCTGAAGCGAGTACCCGCTTGCGATGTGTAAACATCATAATTGGGAAGACAATGGTGGCCAGACGTGGTTAATGGTCACCCAGCACCACCTGTGCTATTTCAGCCGTCATAGGTGCTTGTATGCATGTTGCACTTCTTTCGCACCGTACGTACCCAACCGCGTTCACCTGGAGGTGTGGGGCTAAGGACAAACTCAACACAGAAAAGCTTCCTTTGAAGAATTGAGTTTTCAATCCAGATTCAAAAGTGCTCGATAACAGCCCTTGCCTCAACAGTCTGTTAAAGTCTCTGTCCTATGTATTTGTGCGCGTGTGAGTGTGTGAGCTCGGGTTATGGTGACTCCGAGTGTGTCCGTGAGTTGGCAGTGTGAGCGCGTGTGAGTGGCCCGGCCGCAAAAGCGCATTCACAGCTCGAGACGAGAGATAAGAGGGTGTGTCTGGAGCGTGCGCAGTGACGGCGGCGCTCGGGATGTGGGCGATAGCCGTCGCTTTTCCCGTCTCTCCAGGGCACTGCGGTCTCAGCCAAACCCCCCCCCCCCCCCCCAGCACCAGCAGCGCAGGCCAGCCCCACCGCGTGCAATATTACCCCCATGCACGACACATCGACCGTGCAGTACAGCCTGGTCCAGATGTCTTGTGACCCCCATTTAATTATCTAATACTTAACATATTTTTTTAACGATAGGTTTATTTAAAGCAGAAAAGAATACATGTATGCAAAGTAAAAACAATGTTAGGGGTCAGTTAATTGGGGGGGGGGGGGGGGGTCACAATACATCTGGACCACCATGTACAACCGGATCCTATGTATAACGTCACTCCACCCCCGCCCCATGCACTTATCACGCATTACATCTCCCGTCGTCACTACACATCGTCACTGCAGCTAGCCTGTACTGTGAGTAACATCGCAAGCTT